TGAAAAGATGAAGAAAAATACTTCGACCGACGTCTTTATCAACGGGGTACTAAAAACAACACAAACTGTGGCTCTTTTTTTTTTTTTTCAAGTTCTTCTCAGATGTAGGGCTTTATGTGAATCACTACAAGTGAAGTTACCAAGAAGTGTGCCAGAAAAGTCAACTACGGGCGCTACTTGTCAACGAAAACATTCAGAAATTAGGTCTTTAATGACGTTTTCACATGAATTCCGAACGAAAGTGCAAGGCGAGACAGCGCTGATGTGAAGATAAATCATTTCCAGATAGCCGGTTTATTTGAAATTGATGTGCAGACGTTTCTCCGTTTCTTGACATAAGACCTATCTTTTTAATCTGTCTTCTTTCTCCAGTCCCATTGATCTTACTGGTGGTTGCAGCACGTTTCCCTTGTTCTCTTCCCGCTGCGCGGTCAAAGAATGCACATTGTTTCCTACTGCAATTCCGTGACAAACATTCTGTATCCCGTGCACTGTTGCAACCTGTTGATGACTTATTTAGGGAAACTATTGATCTTGAAATAGTGCGGAGCTATTCAACTGGCGAATCAGGTCTAGCAAGTGTCCCGCGCATCATGGCTGGTTGTACTGTTGCGTTGTAGTAATGATCTTTCTTTGCTAGGGCCCGGGCCTCTGTACTGGGATGACTTCAGGGTTCAACAATTTAGCCCTATGGGTAAACTTAGCTGAACAGTCCTGGCATAGTGGTTAGTGTTCTTGTCAAAACAGTGGTGCTAGTTCAACCCCTAGAAGTGGTAAAATACTGGTCTCAACAGTAAAACTGTGAGGTAAGGTCGGTGAATCCTAGTTTTTGGTTGACAAAACTGGCTGCTAAGTAATGTTCACAATTCTCTAACACAAAAAATAAAAAATAAAAAGGGAAGAGAAAAGGAACTGACCACCTCGGCTCAAATGTCACGCACTAAACTAAACTGTCTGAAAGCTAACACAGAATTAATTTTCGTAATATTAACTTTCAGCATTCTTCAAAACAGAATCTCCTTCTTCTTAGCGTTCAATTAGTATAAACTAAAGCAAGAAGTACTGGTTGTTCCTCCACTCCTGTACCTTTGTCTCGGTCCAGAACTGGAGTTTTGCGTGCACATTCGTTTACAGTCCTTACGTATCTGTATACAGACTGTTGGTTCCTTGTCTATCCAGCTGGCTTCGAGGAAAACATCCGAAATTAGTTGCATTCTACGACATGATAGATGGGTGGGTCTATTTTTTCCCCCTCCAAATTGGAGCCCCAGAACTGACACAGGGATTTCAGGGGATTCTAGGCCTGCGTTTCTCAGGATTGTCTCCGTCCAGGATTGTATCTGCTCGGGGGTCTAAGGCTGCGTTTCTCGGGATTGTATCTGCCCGGGATTCTACGCCTGCGTTTCTCAGGATTGTATCTGCCCGGGATTCTACGCCTGCGTTTCCCAGGATGGTATCTGTCCGGTCAGGATTCTACGGCTGCGTTTTTCAGGACTGTATCTGTCCTGCCGGGATTCTATAGCTGCGTTTCTCAGGACTGTAGATGCGGGGCCGAGATTCTACGCCTGCGTTTCTCAGGATTGTCTCCGTCCAGGCTTGTATCTGCCCAGGGGTCTAAGGCTGCGTTTCTCGGGATTGTATCTGCCCGGGATTCTACGCCTGCGTTTCTCAGAATTGTATCTGCCCGGGATTCTATGCCTGCGTTTCTCAGGATGGTATCTGTCCGGTCGGGATTCTACGGCTGCGTTTTTCAGGACTGTATCTGTCCCGCCGGGATTCTATGGCTGCGTTTCTCAGGACTGTAGATGTGGGGCCGAGATTCTACGGCTGCGTTTCTCGACAATAACAAAACACAACCAACTGCAACACTTACCTCAACTGACTGAGGCAATGAAAATTTGGACCGGATGAATTTCTTCAGATGTTCGACTCTCAGTGCGGCAGGACACTTGAGATATCGCTTGTCGAGCTGACACTGGGGAATATGACATGGCATGTGTGGGGTTGATTATGACATGGCGTGTGTGGGGTTAATTATGACATGGCGTGTGTGGGGTTAATTATGACGTGGCGTGTGTGGGATTAATTACAACATGGCGTGTGTGGGATTAATTACAACATGGCGTGTGTTGGATTAATTATGACATGGCGTGTGTGGGATTAATTATGACATGGCGTGTGGGATTAATTATGACATGGCGTGTGTGAGATTAATTATGACATGGCGTGTGTGGGGTTAATTATGACGTGGCGTGTGTGGGGTTAATTATGACGTGGCGTGTGTGGGGTTAATTATGACGTTGCGTGTGTGAGATTAATTATGACATGGCTTGTGTGGGATTAATTATGACATGGCGTGTGTGGGATTAATTATGACATGGCGTGTGGGATTAATTATGACATGGCGTGTGTGGGATTAATTATGACATGGCTTGTGTGGGATTAATTGTGACATGGCTTGTGTGGGATTAATTATGACATGGCGTGTGTGGGATTAATTACGACATGGCGTGTGGAATTAATTATGACATGGCGTGTGGAATTAATTATGACATGGCGTGCGGGATTAATTATGACATGGCGTGTGGGATTAATTATGACATGGAGTGTGGGATTAATTATGACATGGCGTGTGTGGGATTAATTATGACATGGCTTGTGAGGGATTAATTATGACATGGATTGTGTGGGATTAATTATGACATGGCGTGTGTGGGATTAATTACGACATGGCGTGTGGAATTAATTATGACATGGCGTGCGGGATTAATTATGACATGGCGTGTGGGATTAATTATGACATGGAGTGTGGGATTAATTATGACATGGCGTGTGGGATCAATTATGACATGGCGTGTGTGGGATTGATTATGACATGGCTTGTGGGATTAATTATGACATGGCTTGTGTGGGATTAATTATGACATGGCGTGTGTGGGAATTATTATGACATGGCTTGTATGGGATTAATTATGACATGGCTTGTGTGGGATTAATTATGACACGGCGTGTGTGGGATTAATTATGACATGGCTTGTGTGGGATTAATTATGGCATGGCGTGTGTGGGATTAATTACGACATGGCTTGTGTGGGATTAATTATGACATGGCATGTGTGGGATTAATTATGACATGGCTTGTGTGGGATTAATTATGGCATGGCGTGTGTGAGATTAATTATGACATGGCGTGTGTGGGATTAATTATGACATGGCATGTGAGGGATTAATTATGACGTGGCTTGTGTGGAATTGATTATAGCGTGACTTGTGTGGGATTAATTATGACGTGGCTTGTGTGGGATTAGTTATGACATGGTTTGTGTGGAATTGATAATGACATGGCTTTTGTGGTATTATTTCATGGCTTTTTTTTATAATTGTAAAATGCTTTTGTGGGATTAATTATGACGTGGCTTGTGTTGGATTAGTTATGACATGGCTTCAATGGGATTATTTATGAAATGGCTTGTGTGGGAATAATTATGAAATGGCTTGTTTTGGGATTAATTATGACATGGCTTGAGTGGGATTAATTATGACATGGCTTGTGTGGTATTAATTAATGCGGCTTTTTTGGGATTAATTATGACGTGGCTTTTGTGGGAATAATTATGGCATGGTTTGTGTGGAATTGATAATGACATGGCTTTTGTGGTATTATTTCATGGCTTTTTTTTATAATTGTAAAATGCTTTTGTGGAATTTATTATGACATAGCTTGTGTGGAATAAAATATGAGATGGCTTGTGTAAGATTAATTATGACATGGCTCCTGTGGGATAAATAACATGGGTGCATGTGGGGTTACTTATGATTTGGCTCGCGAGGGATTAATTATGTCATGGATTGTGTGGGATTCATTATGACATGGCTCATGTGGGATTAATAACATGGCTCATGTGGGGTTACTTATGATATGGCTCATGTGGGGTTAATTATGACTTGGCTTGTGTACGATTAATTATCACATGGCTTGTGTAGGATTAGTAATCACATGACCTGTGGGATGAAATATGGTATGTGTTGTGTGGTAGCAAATATGACATGGAATGTGTGGGACGAAAGATGACATGCGATGTATGAGGAAGGAGATATTACATATGTGAGATGATACACACAATGGGATGTGTGGCAGCAAATGTGACACTGAATGTGGGAAGAAATATAACGTTGGATGTGGGAGGAAGAATCCCAGGTCCTAGCTCCCAAACCTAGGAGTGACGTCAAGGGTGAGGGCTATACTTGTACTTGCTTTTTCCCCCTGAAAAATGACTTTCGTTAAAACATTCCCTGCAGCATATGTGCGCAAATTGTCTCTTTCCCCTCTCACTGAATTTCCTATCACAAATTGTGTATAGTGAATCCGTTTCTTGATATCCTTATTTTCCGCTTCTTCTTCTTCTCCTGCAATCGTCCACAAAATGGCGGCACGCTCGTTGTGTTGTGGTTTCAAGTTAGGCTGTGATATCTGCGTCTTCTGGTCCAACACATCCACTTAAAGAAAATAAAATTCCTACTTAGCCGTTTTTTAGGATATACGAAGAGGAGGAGGAGACGAAGGAGAAGGAAGGGCAGGAGGAGGAGAATGTAAGGCAGGGGGAGGAGGAGAAGAGGGAGGAGGTGGAGAAGAATGTGGAGGAGGATGAGGAGGAGAATGAGAAAAAGAAGAATGACAACCCAAAAACTCAGAGTAAGTCTGAAAAGTATATTAATATGTACTTACAATTGCGTTTGTACGCTTCAGTGACTTGCTTTTGCTCTCCTTGACTTCTTTCACCGGTTTACCGCTGCAAGGAAATAAAGACGGCCGTTCTACAACATCAATGACAGTTCCCATAATAAATATGAAAAACCACGAATATTAAGTAATCGTCTTCTTCTTTCGCCATAAAAAGATTGGTTTGTGTGGCGTACTGGGATTAACAGATAGGCTGCGATATGCGCTCCTTTCGATCCAACACAGCCGATTACAGAAAAGTTATAATTAGTTGCATTTTACAACATGGTGTTGTTAAGGTGAAGAGGTATATTATGACACCCCCCCCCCCCCCCCCCATCATTTCACCCCGGAAATGTGACTCCAGAGTCCACACGTTGAGAAAAGTACAATATAAAGAGACGAGTTAAAGTTTCACACCCTATTAAATTCATTATGTCAGCATATTTATTAGATCTATTCATCAGGCGGAAATCAATTTTGTGGATTGCACGGTTTATCAATGTGTATCTCTTCGCCAATCTCTCTCCTGTGCTACTTATCTCACAGAAAGACCATATTCAGCCCCACCTCCCCCCCCCTTTTAAGACGGATTTAAAATAATTATTTAAAAAAGGCGCCGTCTCCAACAGTTTCTGTTCATTTTAAAACGACATTTATGTGTAGTAATAATAATAATCATCATCATCAGGTGCCTTGCCGGCTGGCGTGGGCGATCATACCTCTGCATAAGCCACGATCTCCTGTAGCATGTATCAGTTCGTGTGCCGACACACCTCCATGCCATGCAACAAGACTGTCTCTTCTCTTGTCTTTCTCTATCCCTCCTTCCACAGATCTTCCCAGTGGTCACTATGTAGTAATACCGTGTCAATACATGGCGTCCTTTCTTTAAATAATATACAGTGGAAGAGTCGGCTCTGTGGCTAAGTCGATGCGAACGCTTCGTAATGCCGGGTTCGATCCCAGCGGCGGGCCAACGTCCTGTAAAGGATACGCAACTAACCTTATTTAACAGTGGAAGAATGATGTGGGGCTCATGCAGTTAGGTTTAGGTTTATTCGACGGATCAACATCATGGCACAAGGGGTAACCCGTAAGTGCTCCGTTCTACTTCTGACTCAAGCCTGAGTCCGAAGAAGCTCAGAGCGCAGTGCCTGTACTTCCGCAGCACCGGTGAGGATCCTGAAATACTTTTGGGTAGATTTTAACTCTAAATTTTGCCTAGGCAAATAGTGCGCATCGATACACACTGGCATCTGCCCTTACTACTAGAGAACTAGGAAAATTACTGGAAGTCAACGTGAAAAAAAAAAAAATCCCAGGCTTCACCGGGAACCCGTGACCTCCAGGACTCGTGGCGTATGCCATGCCCCGCGACCACGCAGCCCTTAAAGTGCAACTAATAGACAATAAAAAAGCAACATCCAGGCGACCTACACACAGGCAACAAAGAACGACGTTTACGCCGAGGTCTTCGTCGTCGTCAAACAAAACAGAACCGCTATATCGAAGGTAAGTCTTTTAATACACACGGAACGATCGTGGTGAGAGACTAGATGCTCGCCTGTATATAAAAAGGTCGTGAGTTTAAATCCCCATGGAGCTGGATATTATATAAACATGATCTTGGCTCCTAGGTCGACCCAACCTAAATGGGTGCCAGGTAAAGTCATGGGAAGTAAAGGCGGTCAGTGAGATGTTGACATCACCCAGAGTCTATATAAATAGCAGTCTTATCGCCTTTGACCGGAGCGCCACTAGCGTGTAATGGGCCCTTTACTCGTAATACACAAAGCATAAAAAGCTGATAAACTATCAACCGTAATCTAAAAAAATTCCTAAAAGAAAAATGTGGAAGACTGAAGTAAGAAGAGAATTAAATTAAAATATACACACACATGCAAGTTGCCTTTTTTTTAAAGGACGTTGCAAAATCAACTCCATTTCGTGATTTTACTAGACAATTTGACATTCAGTAGTTTGCCACTGCTAACTGAACGGTTGACTCGATACAACTTTTGATAACAACGCAAGGCGGTCTGCTGTCAAATAAGAGGCAGGTGTGATCGAACCCAGCACCTCGGTATTACCAACCATGTTCACAAAGCCTAAGCCACAGACTCCGACCAGACCATACACACATACATGTCTATATTAGCTGAAGAAAACGTTAAATATTCATTCATGCTAGGTTAAGAAAGCTTAAATTATTAATCAGGGGGGCTTTCTAAGCAACTACACCTGATAGCATCCCCTGAGCAAGATTTAATGGCAGCAACAGTAATATCAGTTCCACCATGACAGCAGGCGTGTTATGCTGGTTTGGGCGCTTCCTTATAATTTTTTTTTCCAGTTTTTATGAACAGATCAGCTAACTTCATCCTGGTTTCGCCGATGAATGTCTTTGCAGGTGATAACAGGATACTCAAGTAAAAGCTGGTCGGGTGTGCAAATCACCCTTGGCTAATTCGCCAGGGAAGTCAAGGCAACAAACAAACGTGCACTAATAAAGAGAGCATCTTCTTCAGGAAATGCTGTGTGATTAGGTGGGTTTACTTCTAAGACAGAGTAAATCTTTACAAAGAACCATACTGCTTTAAAGACCAGCTCGTAATCCGAAGGACATTCATGTTTCTGAGCGTTATTTATGTAATATCATAAGCATTCCATCAGAGCTATGGGATATAACATTTATGCAGCATCAGACGGATTAAACAAGTCTGGCCATTATAATCCACTGGAACACTTCCTATTCTAGAACACAATCCAGAAGACCCAATCAGCCGTGACCGTTGGGTTAAAAAGGAATGTCCTTTTACGAGCAAATGTAAACAAACATCTAGTTGTTTTTTTTTTTTTTTTTTGGGGGGGGGGGGGGGGGGGGGGGGGGCTTATCTGCGGAAGAAAACCAGACACAGATTCAAAGCAATCTGCACGCTCACAGGTAATTACCGGAGTCTTCAAAATATATTACTGTACGTGTTTCATAGGTGTTTCACTCTCAGGTGGTCATCTCCAGCAGTGGTCTCTCGTAAGGTGCGGATTTTTCATTGTAAGAGGGACAGGCTATCACAATAATCATTAAGCATAGCTGCATACGTGAGCTGGTTTCAACATAAATTTCACGCGTGCGTCAATTACTGTACAGTCTATTTTCTAGGACTATAGAAATGATTAGTCAAGCAAAGATCAAAGAAATTCGCACCTGGGAAATTTTAATTTGACAAATTTTGAAGTACGTAGTAAAGTCACCTCGAAAAAGAGAGAGAGAGAGAGAGAGAGAGAGAGAGAGAGAGAGAGAGAGAGAGAGAGAGAGAGAGAGAGAAATAATGGGTGGGGGCCAGAGGCAGCTAACACAAAGAACAAGACAAAAAAATGCTTTATAAAACAGTCATCGCTTCACAACAAGCTGACATTTTAAATAATAAGGAGAATAATACAGAGATAACACACTTAAGCATCATTTCCCGCCAAACTAGCTACAACAACACGCACACACATGCACACTCACAAACGTGAGCCCGCACGCACTCGCACAAAAGACGGCACGCAGGGACAGACACAGAATAAACCGTGGGTGTATGTGTCAAACAAAACTAATCAGATAATAAGAACCCCTTAACACTGTATTGAGGCAGTGAAGTTGTCACGATCATAGCGTAAAGGAAAATAACACAAATCAATGGAGAAGAAAGTTCACTAGCAAGGGAAAATGGTTGGCTATCTAAGACAGTCAACAAATATGGGGTAAAAGGGAGGAGGAGGGGGCGGGGGTTGGAATAGTCAATTATTTGAAAAGGGAAACAAATGATACGGAGGCGGGAATTAGGGTGGGAGTCAACTATTTTGTTTGAAAAAGTTAATGATAGAAAATGATCAACCAGGCGAAGAGTATCACAAATGCAGGGAAAATGGTCAACGTTGTTTTTTTTAAAGGTTACCATGGAGGGGAAATGGTCAACTACTGAAAGATGTTAGTAAACAGGTAGTAAATCAGTAAACAAGGTTGAAGAAATTGGTTGGGGTCTCAGGAAAGTAATTTTACAGAAGAAATCTTACAATTCCCTAGCTACCTCTATGTGTTCAAAGTGTCAAAGTCCCAAAGACAACTTATCACGAACATTGGCCCGGCTCTCTAGCGTAGTTGGCTAAACCGGATTGCGCGGAGACCGGGTGACGAACTCCTTGTGGTCCGGGTTCAATCCCGGGGGTAGGCAGGAAAGCCACATTTTCTCCCAGATTTACGGTATTTACAATGGAATCAAGGCCGAAAGGTTGCGATATCCATTATACCGAGCCTAACTCATGGCTTCTGGATACTAAAACAAACAAACAAACATCACAAACATTGGAAAGAACATTATGTTAAGGAGCCGCGTTAGCGCAGTCGATAGGATCCTCGATTTTCAAACCAGCTGCCAGTCGCTGCAGCACACGGCCGGTGTTCGAAACCGGGCGGTTTCCAGAGTTCACCCAGCCTCTAGGAAATGGGTACCCTGGAAAAACGTCGCTGTAGCTAGAGTTTCCCGCGGACGGCGACACAAGCGAACAGTTTCTTATCAGCTGTCCGTACTAGTGAAAGAGCACTTATGGTTTATTTACCTCTACCGTGTGCAATGAGACTGGTTCACATTTTCCGGCTTTACCCTTACCTTTTTTATTGGAAAGAAACGGTCATCATTTGTGGGGGAACATTACAAGAAAATAAGAACCTGTCGTGACAAGCAGAAAGATTTATGAAACAGGTAGATAACGACATAAGACTCGTGGCAGACTTTTGTCATGTCACGGACAGATGTCAACACACAAACACAAGTTGTTTTACATTCGAAAGGGAATCAATTGTACCGTAACACGGAAATTTCAATACCTTCCGATACTGTGATATGTATTTTTATGTAAACCTCCCCCCCCCCCCCTTCCACCCATCCAGCCATTTAGACATCCATCCATCCTCCCAAAGAACTAACTACATAAATACCTATCCGTCCATCTATTTCCCTTCCTCCCTCCATCCATTCATCTCTCTCTCCACACATCCATCCACGAACCTACCCGTCCATCTGTCTGTCTGTCCTCTCTTACTCTCTCCTTCTCACTCCACACACACACACACGGTTAGACACAGATTACCACCAATATCTGGGAAACATTTCAAACGTATATGAAAGCACGGAAAAAGAACTCAAATGTCAAGGAATCAGTTTACACAGCTCCAAAGCCTTCTCACATTTCCTTGGCAGCGCACTCAGCCATGCGTACATAAGCCAGTTCGCCGGTAATAATATTCCAATCTCCATGAAACTTAATCATCGCGCTTTGAGCTTCTCCGGACGAATTTTGGATTAACCCGATCATTTTCTCAACGGTCAGAAACAAAACCTATGCAATCATCACGGGCGTACTCTTTTATTCAATGGTCAGTATCTATAAGAGAAGTAATCTGGTAATCTGGTAATGCTAGTTTCAGCTTCATAGCAAACGGGTCACCCCCATAGTTGCTCCGCTCCTGTGCCAACGAAAAACACACGTAGCTCACAGTGTCACACTCATCTATAAGAGAAGTGGGTGCAGGATGAGGCGAATGATCTCCATATGGGTGTACTGGACGCAGGACATTTTACTTGTGATCAAGAAGTTTTCCGGACGGTTGTTATGGAAGCAAGGGTCTGCAAAAGACATGCTGCTGATTCAGTCAGTTTTTATCATACACCAATGACATGATATGTTCAAGCAAGCAAACTGCACGAAAGGGTTTTAGATGAATGCTCCTTATATGACAAAGAACCCAAGTGTGTACACATTTTTGGCGAAAAGGCCAACTGTGTACAAACGAAGAACTAATGTGTGCACAAAAGTATGACCCCAAAAAAAAAAAAAAACAACAACAACAACAACAACCAGTGTCCATATGTGTTTGGCTACGACGTTAAGTGAGTACTAATGTCTGAAAAGATCCAATATGAACACAAGTATGATAAACACGCTGGACGAGAAACCCGACTGCACATGAATCTAGACCGATAAAGAACTGTTTCTGCTTTGCTAGGGGAAATAATCGCTACGTTCAACCAGTATCCCAGAAGGGGGAGCTTTAGGTTATAACTGAGACCAGGTTATGTGCGCCATACAACATGGCTTAGCACTGCACACTACCAAGAGCCATGAAAATGACTCCTGCAGCGTTGAAGTTGAAGTGATCAAGCAAGACAAAGCCAAATACTGTCCCGAGCGGCGACGAAGTCGTCTACTGGCGAGCTAATGGGAAACCGGTGCGTGAACGAAGAACCCACGCGAGTATATAAGCAAGAGAGAGAAAGTACCTAGATGTAAACAAAAATAAGAGTTAATGTACACATAACTACACGCGCATGACAAAGAATACATGTGTATACATTATACATAATTTTGACGAAGAACCCAACTGTGTATCAAAAGTATGTCGAAAAACACAAAGTGCACACGAATGAGGACGAACCTAAGTGGTGATCTGCTTACAATAATAAATGACACGAATAATTAACCAGCGTTGTCAAGTAAAATTATCACATAAACATGCATATATAGTGCATTATTAATTTCTGGCGCGAAATAATCAAGCCAAAGGTGTTATTTCCCTTGACATCAAGAGCCACAAATTATTCCCCTTATTTAATTTAGCCCTTTAAATTGCGGAGTTGTCAATGATCGACACAATGTGATTCAATAAACACTAATGATTACAATCATATTATATTCTGATGCCATTTAAACAAATTCACTGTTTTTCCTGAACAGGCTTATTACTTCTTCTTCTTCCTCTTCTTCGCGTTCACCAGCTGTAAAGTGGAAAGGTAGAAAGTTCTGGTTGTTTATCCACTTCTGTACCGCAGTCATGTTCCGCAACCCGAGTGTTGCGTTTGCACCCGTTTTACAAATCTAAGTCATTTGTATGCAGACTGCTGGTTTCTTGCCACTCAGGCAGATGCCCTTCGACTTCATAGGAAGGCTAATTACTTTAACTCCAGACAACAACTCATGGAGATGGTATTGCTTTATTAACTCAATGAGATGTCAACTACAGCTTTCCAGCTCGTGCCGTCATTCTGCTAGTTTGCCAGTCCGCTCTAAGGTAAGGACACTCCAAGTGCCACACAAAACGTTGTATCTTCCACACACTAAACGCTGTATCTATCACACACAAAACGCTGTATCTATCACACACAAAACGCTGTATCTATCACACACAAAACGCTGTATTTCCCACACACAAAACGCTGTATCTTCCACACACAAAACGCTGTATCTTCCACACACAAAACGCTGTATCTTCCACACACAAAACGCTGTATCTTCCACACACAAAACGCTGTATCTTCCACACACAAAACTTCATTTCTTTCGTGGTGATCTTTTCCTGCCTCATATTCGCATTCACAGCTGTAAACTCGGCCGGAAAGTTTGAGCTGACTGTCAACATCTTGGAGGGAGGGGGAGAAAGATGCATTGACACACACACACACACAGAGAGAGAGAGAGAGAGAGAGAGAGAGAGAGAGAGAGAGAGAGAGAGAGAGAGAGAGAGAGAGAGCAAATAAATAGTGAAAGTAAAGACACAGAAGATAATTATCATGGGAATAAATAAAACACCATTCAAAGGAACGGTGACAGGCAAGCAACAGTCCAGCAAACTAGTGGTTAAGTACACAGGCTAGACTAGGGCTATTCAAGTGGCCACCCGCAGGCTAAATTCAGCCCTGAGGCCTAGCAGGAGGCCCGTGGATCCCTGGTCCAAAAAAGTCATCTTTCTATGCTGGTGTTCAGAACCCTGGTATGTGACGATTCCATTTTTTTTTTTAAACATTTTAGTCACTGAGTCAACTGTTGAATAACACTGGACTAGACATTCACATCAAGTAAACAGACTAGACATTCACATCAACTACTTAAAAACATTAAAAAAAAACATGACTAGAGATTCACATCAAGCAATCTAAGTAAAACAAATAATAATGTGAACAGAAACCAGATGTTAAATAGAAGCTTACTGTGTTTAACACTCTTGAAATCCTTAACAACAATGCTGACAGGTTAAAAAACAATGACATGGTTAATTTATTTCCCACTTTTAGGATAACGAAAACCCTTTTATACATGCAGCTATACGGAAACAACGTACTGAAACTAAGATGTATATGTGTGTGTACTTACTCTGGGGAAAACTCAATAGAGATACTGAACTCCTCGTCCCGTGAGAAGATGATACGGTCTCCAAACTCTCCCTGGAGCTGACTGCGTGACCGCCCACGCTTATCTGCAGACAGGTAAGAAACAAATTATGTAATGTTCACCATCACTCACGCCAACACACTCACGCCAACACACACACACACCCACCCACGCACGCACACACACAGCAGATGAATGAAGTTTGAGGGGCTGCGTGGTCTCGAGGTATGGTGTCCACCTCGTGTGATAGAGAACCCTAGTTAAGGCCCCGGTGAGGGCTGGAATTTTTTCACGTAGACTTATAGTAATTTCCCCTGGTCTCTGGTATGTGAGACCAGACGCCCGTGTGTATTGTGGCGGTCGTAAAAAATCCCTTGGCATTTGGAAATCGAAAAGAGTAGCGTAACAGCGCTGCCGGGGCAAAATTTAGAGTTAATAATCTTCCCAAAACTATTTCAGGATCCTCGCCGGTAATACCCAGCCCGTGAACTGCGCTGAACTTCTTCGGACGTGAGTTAGAAGCGGAACGTAGTACTTATATTATTGGTTACCACCACCCTTGTGCCATGATTGTGATTCGTTGTTCATGAATGACATTTTCATAGGACTTGAACACTGTCAAATACCAAATGATGGTTTCTCCTGCGGCGGGCTGACATTTTTTAGGTAGCTTCATTCAACTGTTCCTGTTGTCCTGTGACAAAGGTCTCCACGGAGTTGAAACGTTGGCTGGGCTGGTTATGTTGTATTGACTTTACGCCGGCAGATCTACCTTTGATATTGTTTACCTGTACCTAGTTGGTGAGATCACTCAAAGGTGCTAAACTCGCAGGTGTGTGAGGGATTTGCCACTTTTCTTAGATCTTTGAGGATTAATTAGTTCTGGAGTTTTGGTATTATCCTTTCTATGTAGTGTAAGGAAATGGTAAAGCAATGGATTTTTTTATAAATTTATGAAATCAACAGATTGTTTACAGAACACTGCTCTCTTCGCGGCAAGCATGAAAGTCTCTCTCTTTCTTCAGCTTTTTTTCCAGCCCTATGTGCTTTCATAGTTAATGCATCTGCGATGTCTTGTACCCAAGTTTGCACAGGCCTGCCCCGCCCCCCCCCCCCTTTTTTTTTTTCTAGAATATCAATGTACTTTTTTCTTTCTTTTTCAAATTACAATTTTTATCAATTTACTCTACGTCTAATGTAGGTCTCTGTATGCACCCCGCGAGGGAGATATGGTGGAACAGCAGATATGTTGCGGGAATAAGATTGCTAATCCACTACCACACATGGACTTGAAAAGCAGAAAAAGAGGGTGGGCTAGGGACTGATTTGATCCCATAACTGCTCCGTCCTTGCGCAGAAAGGAAAAAACATAAGATTTTATTCAGTGCCCCATTTGAAAACTAGTGACAAGCTTGTCAGTCCCACCTAAGTCTTCAAGGTTGCACACGCAAAGTCAAAAACGCATAAGGCAGCTATGAGATACGCCAGCATCAATGGACCCATGCCATGATTGCAGCTCAAGGTTTTAAAACAGTAACAGAGAATGTAAAGTCTACCGATTTATTATTGATTACATCTTGGTATTGACACCTCTCAATCTTTCAAACGACAGTTACACTTAGCTAGAGGGAGGCATAGGAATCACAGTCTATGGCGATGGTGATAGCGACTAGGAAGTCCCGCTTACTGTGAGAAAAATCTTGCGCAATCAAAGCATGGAATTTCAGGACAAATAATACCTTCATTACATGGTCTACTAAAATATGGAGGCAGCATAATATGCTCCAGACGCACGAGAATGTGGACAAATGACCTTTACTAAACTTACTCATCTCGACATTTTTACATTTCTTTGCTGAACGCATATGTATACAACAAGCAGACAAAAGAATTGACTTGCATAATGCACCCATCAGGAATATCAGATTTATAGCTTCTCCCTCTGGGTTTCGGGGCCCTATGCTGGGGTGAACGAAGGAACAGGCAAGTAATTGGAGGTTTCTGAAACCGGATTTGTTTGGTCAACAGACGCAGATATCGCGTCCTAGCTTAAACTACAGTGCAATGTATTAATAAATCTTTTAAGAATTTTGTAGTAGCAGTAGGATGCGCAGTAGCAGGAGGAGGAGGAGAAGAGGGAGAGGCTAGTTAAGAACACCTAAGCACATTCTGCAGACGTGCCCACTCTACCTACATTCTACAACTTCGAAAAGACGCCTGGTCTCAACAGCAAAGTGTGCAGCGCAAGCTTTGGGGAACCATGAAGGACCTGCTACTGACATGCGAGTTCATAAAGGCAACCCACCTGATCTGAGCATACGAAATCGAACGTAAAGAAGAAAAAAGAAGAAGAAGAAGAAGAAGAAGAAGAAGAAGAAGAAGAAAAAAAAGAAGAAGAAGAAGAATTAAAACTAATGTTTGCTGAAAACGCAAACGAAACATTAACGGACGTGTCCTGATTGCTGTGATGCCGGTTAGGTACTTTCTTATTAGCCGACCACAATCAGGGTAAATCCATAGGTCTGGGGACAGTCAAATATTTCAGGGGGTGGTAGATTAGGTTTAGGTAATCGCGCGAAACCCTTGACCTTGGAAGACATGCGCTAAAGTACAGAAACCACGGAAAACCCGCTCTTAGCACCCTTTAAAATATTGGAATGTTCCGTGACGTCATTTGTGACTTGCTGAAAAGAGACCACCTCTGGTTCTTTTCTCATCTCAGTCCATACAGATTTTCGCCTTCTCCTTCGCGTTCACTGGCTGCAACTCCGGCGAAAAGTTCTGGTTGTTCGACCGCCTCTGGACATTAGTCTTGTTCCAGAACATGAGTGTTGCCTGCACATACGTTGTACACATCTGACTTACTTGCATGCAGATTGTTAGTTCCTTGCTTCTCATGCAGATGCACTCCGATTTCGAAGGAAGCCCCCCAAATATGTCGACTCTTACCACATGCCTGTTGGGGAGGCAGTGGATCTATTCTAGCTTCCCCTACTTTGGGGTCCCGTAACCCACACGGGGAATACAGTTTTTAATATAAACAGTTTGCCTGATTCTGTGTGCATCTTTTCTTTCTATGAGTTTCCCAATGACATTAAAGTTTTACTTGCAGTATCACAGTATCCTAGCTTACATTGTTAACGAGAGGAGTAAAACAAACTCTTTAGAATGAGACGATTTTGTACTAGGTGTGTACTGGGAGATGACATAATATTACACAATCCTGTTCGTACTTCGCGCATTTATCCTTTCTTTGAGTTTTTCGGTTACACGTTGTATTCAGTCAATATTTTTTATCATCTATGTCTGCTCACATCATTATAGAGAGTTGCGAAACAGACTCTTCATAAAGAAACAATTTTGTAATTCAAGTGAACTGAAAAGCGACATAAATTTACAATAAAAGGCGTTGTGAAATATTGTAGCATTGGCTAAACAAAAGTTTCAGCAAACACCTGAGGTACAATCGCTTACCTTGCTGATTCTGTTTCTCGTAAAACTCGCGTCGTCTCCTCATCTCATCTGAAAGAGAGAAACAAGAGAACAGTTACTTTCGTACATCTTTGGTATATCCAGAGCAGTGTTTCTCAACCTTTCTACACCAGCGACCCACCAAAACCATGAAATTTCGTCGGTGGCCCACATGACAGCTTTTACAACACTGAAACAACGCTGTCGTACGACGTTACACAAGCTTTGTAGCAATCATATAGCCGTTACATGAGTAATTGTCCTTATTCACAGCCCAGTTTGGACTACAGGTTACGTAACTGCCGAAATTCCCAAATTCTTCTTCTTCTACCTTTTTAACCTCCAATGGAGCATAGGCCTTCAACCAAAACACGCCAAGCCTTTGCTATCACCTGCAGCTCTCCGCATGTGCTCGCTATCTTTTAAAATTCACACTCTTGCCCCGTTCTCCATGTGTCTTGTGGTCTTTTATTTCTACCTCCCTGTGGGTTCCAGTACCAAGGCATTCTAGTTATATTGTTCTTACGTGTGTCCTAACCAGCACCAGCGTCTTTTCTTCACCACTTGGTCCAATGGAACTAAATAGCATGATATTACTGCTTTACGAGGTTACACAGGGTTTCCAGAATTTGAACCTGTCTGATTCTCGTTCTTGAGGTGTTAAATCCTATAGACTGCAATCGTGGAAACGAAACAACAACCTATCCTACCATGTCACGTGATTAGGCCAGAAAACATGGACCGAGGAACACTGATCTAGAACCACACATTCAGGCCCATGATCGCTCAACAATGTTACAGCGAGCCTCTTACAGTGACGCAGGACTGAAGGAACAATGTTACAGCGAGTCTCTTACAGTGACGCAGTACTGAAGGAACAATGTTACAGCGAGCCTCTTACAGTGACGCAGCACTGAAGGAACAATGTTACAGCGAGTCTCTTACAGTGACGCAGCACTGAAGGAACAATGTTACAGCGAGCCTCTTATAGTGACGCAGCACTGAAGGAACAATGTTACAGCGAGTCTCTTACAGTGACGCAGCAATGAAGGAACAATGTAACAGGGAGCCTCTTACAGTGACGCAGCACTGAAGGAACAATGTTACAGCGAGTCTCTTACAGTGACGCAGCACTGAAGGAACAATGTTACAGCGAGCCTCTTACAGTGACGCAGCACTGAAGAAACAATGTTACAGCGAGTCTCTTACAGTGACGCAGCACTGAAGGAACAATGTTACAACGAGTCTCTTACAGTGACGCAGCACTGAAGGAACAATGTTACAGCGAGCCTCTTACAGTGACGCAGCACTGAAGGAACAATGTTACAGCGAGTCTCTTACAGTGACGCAGCACTGAAGGAACAATGTTACAGCGAGCCTCTTACAGTGACGCAGGACTGAATGAACAATGTTACAATAAGCTGCGCACGACGGTCTATGTCTGACTCAACAATGTTACAAACAATGTTACAATAAGCTGCGTAGGATGGTCTATGGCTGACTCCACAATGTTACAATAAGCTGCGCACGACGACCTATGTCTGATCTAACAATGTTACAATAAGCTGCGCACAACGGCCTATGTCTGCCTCAACAATGTTACAATAAGCTGCGCACGACGACCTATGTCTGATCTAACAATGTTACAATAACCTGCGCACGACGGCCTATGTCTGACTCAACAATGTTACAATAAGCTGCGCACGATGGCCTATGTCTGACTCAACAAAGTTACCGTGAGACTCTTACAGTGACGCAGGATTGAAGGAACTATGTTACAATAAGCTACACACATTGGCCTATGTCTGACTCAACAATGTTACAATAATTACTCACAGTAGACAAGTCTGACTCAACAATTTTACAATAAGATACAAGCAATATAGATAGGTCTGTCTCAACCAAGTTACAATGAACCACTCTGGTCCATGTTTGACACAACAATGTTACAATCCGCTACTAACAACGGTTCCCGACTGACTTAGCAATGTTACAATTATCCACGACTGCCTATGGGCGACAAAACAATATCACAATGAACCACTCACAGTTGATAAGTCCGACTAAGCCATGTTACAGTCTGTTCTTGTTGGGTCCTACAATCTTTAACTGGCAACTGAACTAAGCTTAAGGGTATGCGTGAGTCATTTCTCACTCATGCACCACTGGCGTTTAAAAAAAGGGCACTTTACTGACCTGCCGTTGGCGGGCAAATTACTGCTAAACTTTCTCGTGTGTGGCACCTCTGACCTGATAAATACTGACCAAGTGATTTTTAATCGTAAGTTGTTAACGTTTAATTAGCAAAAGTATAAAGCATTATTTAACTGTAACACACATGCTTGGCGAACGTTATTTTCAAAGCGCTGAGAATCAGACATACCTTATGACTACCCGTTTTATGTCCCATATGTTAAATATAATTTAATTCAGACAAATTATACCAGGACCCAATGATAATAATAATAATTATAATAATAATATTTAAAATAATAATAAGACTAACAATAACAACAACCGGGAAAACTAACCCGGTCAACAAACGCCTGCAGAAATCAAATGTGCAAAGGCGCAAATATCGCAGCCACATTGTAAACGGGCACAACGCGTGTACCTCTTCATGTGAACACAGAATAAGTAGATGATGATGATGACAAGAACAATAACAATAAGATCATAATAATAGCAATAACGAATTACAGTCACGGAAATAAACCTGAATATATTAATATTAGAAGACCGCATTATTTTAATAACTTCACAATCATATGGTAATAAAGGAAAAAATGTATACCTCAGTAAAGTGCTATACCACATTGTAAATACTAGAAAAGGCATGACACTGCCGCGAGATGGTAACTGATCAATTAGCTGTCACGTTATGCGTAAGGCTTGTATTGTTTTGGAGGCATTGTGAGCGTCGAACCGTCCAGAAAGCGATGGCAAACTACTGAATGTAAAATCATTTAATAAACCCAACGACAGTCGGCAAATAAAGGGGAGATGGTTTGTGACGTTCTGTAAACATTTACAACGCTCTTTTTAACTTTATGAGTAGGGAAGAGGGGAAAAGGGGGGGGGGGGGGGGGAGGCTCCTTCATTTACTGCGGAGGCTTGGAGCCAGTGCATAAGCTATATATGGTTTGTTGCGTATCCTTTACAGGACGTTGCAGAATCAACCCTAACAGCCCCTGGCTGTTGTGTGGTTTGTTCTAGGCAAATTCTCGTCCAGTAGTTTGCCACTGCTTTCTAGGCAGTCGGCTTTCTTGATACCACTGTCGAAACCAACGCAAGGCGCATGGCCCGCAGCTGGAATCGAACCCGGCATCCCGGTATTACCAAGCGTTCGCATCGACTTAGCCACAGAGCCGACATAAGCTATATAAGCGGACTATAAAGTTAAGTACATGACCCTATTCGACGCATTCATGCTTTTTGGACATACAGTGCTAGACTTATATTTTACTGATCAACCCTAACCCCGTCTGTGATATGATCAACATCAGGCGGACTGCCTTTACCTCCAATTACTTTACCAGGTACCAATTTGAGGCTGAATCGACCTGCAGGCCGAGGTTATTTTTGAGGCCCCCAAAAAATGTCGGCTCCGTACAGATTTGAATCTATGGCCGCTACAAAACACTTTTGCTCCCTTCAGACGAAGGGAACTAATCCTTTAGGTGGGCACCAAGAAAGTTTGCGAAGCGTGGTAGTAACGAAAATACCTCAACTTGGTTATGTTGCTAAGTTGATAAGGTGGGTTGGTAGTCAAGAGAAAACAGTCCTTGTCGACCACCAGCTTCGAATCACAGATAATCATAGCGATGTTTGTGTAAGATTAGTTGATGGGCTAGGTTTAAATCAGCACCGAAAGGGATTGGGGGAGGGGGAGGGGTTACTTTCTTCTTCAATACTGACATTGGCAGCAGGTCGAAAAAGTCTAACATAGGAACTAGGTAATCGTCTGGGAAATAAAGGTGGTCGGTGTGATGATGATCAAATATCGTCGAAAGGAGTTGCCGTGGTGTAGCGGCTAGACGCTCGTCTGTTGATCGAAAGGTCGTGGGATCAGGTCCTGACCAAGGCGGACTTTTGTAAAAAAATGACCTTGGCTCCCGAGTCGATCCAGCCTTGAGTGGGCACCAGGTGCGGTCCTGGGATATAAAGGCAGCCGGCGTAACCCTTTATACCCAATAACAATACGTACAAGCAATGAAAAAGATCCTTTACGTTATACTATACTTACTAGATACTCGATGAGTCACAGATGTAAAAAACGTACCCCCCCCCCCCCCACCCCATCCTTTTGGATCAAAAGTGTAGGCCACCTCTAGAATAATTAAACACATATTATAACAGTAACAAACAAGCACTCACCCTGGAACAGTCCTGGAACCATCTTGTACACGGCATTCTGAAGGGAATGGTCGAGTCTGTGGAAGAGACCAGGCACCAACACTGAAGTTGTGTATGTGTACTAAGTGTATTCAAATGATATTTGATTATCTCTTCACAAGACTGCAGGAAGCCACAGTCCCACAGCCAACCGTACTGGAGGTAATGGGTTCCATTTTAAAGCCCAAATAACCTAGGTTCCAAGGGTCACTTGGTCGAAATCTGTCGTTTTCAACCCGGGTGTGGTGGTGGTGGGCAGGGAGGAGGGGGGGGGGGGGACAAAGAAGTAAAGAAGTTTAAATGAGGTGGGTGTCGGGGAGAGAGTGGCGTCACGCAACTGAGATATTATTATAACATTATAGTTTTCTTTCAGCGAATTAAAAAATAGTTTATAAAACAAAATAAAACAAAATATCGCGGCTTTGCCCAACATCAGACTCCCCAAATTACCGATATCATCAAGATAAAACAGTGTCAACCATCACACGAAATTATTATTATTATTTTTTTTTTTTTGCAGATTGTTTGTTTCATGTTATCTGGCACTTGGCTTATGTAGACGTTTTTTCCCCCACAAGTTCTTTTTATTAATAGTGCTTGGGATTTTTTTTCCCTCTATATCCACCTTTTATTAATTTTACTTTTTTCCAACATCCACACAACGCAGTGACAAAAGCCGTAGTGTAGTAGCTACACACTACCTGATGGCCCAAAGTTACAGTAATGAAATCCACATTTTATAACAACATACTGCGATATCTGCCCCTTTCGGCCAACCCTGACTTTTTCAGGTCACAATAGCCTACAAGGACATATATGTAGCATACGCACTAATGCCTGATGACTTAATATAATATTTTAATCGTATTCTCGACAAATTGACCAATATGGTCAAACAACTGAAATGCAGTTTTCCCGTGATAAGTAAAATGACTAGTTTTAATGACGTTTTAGACAAATGTTCAGCACGGAATAACACTACTGACCTGATATTCTGCCACGGCCGGGTCTTGTGAATGAGTACTTCACATATCGGGCAGTAAGTACTTGTTTCCAGATAGCGAAGGATACATGTCTTACAAACTGAAAATGAAAAAAAAAATGTGTTGCATACATTCATTGTAAAAAGGGCCGTGCTAAGTCAGTTTTAGTTAACTGCGAATTCACAGTAATGAGTCGGATGAAGATGGCGACGTAAACGTTATGCAGTTCTTCAAAACAAGGATGCACTGTCAATATAAAAAATATGCCAGACAATATACTGTGCATTATATAATTTGTGCGTTCAGTATTGAAATTCACATATGCAATTTTGTTTTGGTACTTTGCCGACTTTTCTGCTATGACTTCCTTTTCGATCTTATCTTTTCTGGTCACTAACAAGTACTGTGATCAATACTCAATGTTTAAACACGAGAAGAAAGGCAAAGATGTCGACTACACTGTTCCAGCTTCCATCCACATGGCTCAGTTCTGTTGGCACCGTCACCCAAGAACAAGAACTATATTGTTTGACATCTCACTGCGGTGCACCAATGAAGCAAACACTGCAAGTCTAAAGATAGAGCTACTACTTTCAGAGGCAAAGCAACCTGCTTGTCTACTTCGCCACAACATCATCGTTGCAATCTTCTGTGTGCCTACTAACTAGATATTTCACGTACATACAATCATGATGTATTTTATACGTCAATACAAAATCTGTCGTGCACACACAAAAGAGACATCTATCGTGTAAATAACAAGTTCTATGCTTTGTTTATCTTTTTATTGTCTTTACTTTCTCAGGTTAATCATTGTTTTACACTGTCATTTACACAATGCCAACGGAAAGCTCCCGCCATTTGTGAGCTAATCTCCTGTCCTCTTCTTCCTTTAACTTAGGCGTTATGAACAATTCTGTAATTCCAACACAGTGGGTTCTATGGATAAGACAGACAAAAGCTCCCACCTGATCGGTGAGTCTAGTGAGCCTTGCCTACAGGGCACATAACGATGATGCCGGGTTCGATTCGGCACCATGACATTTTGCAGACACCTGTGCGTAGGTTTCCCCGCGAATGTTATCATCCAATTCTTCCTTCCTTCCTTTCTAGCGTTTGCCGATTGTAAACGTCCGCGGAAAGTTCTTGTTGTTCGTCCACTTCTAGATTTTGATATTGCTTCAGAATTTGAGTTTTGAACACACATCAGTTTTACAGGTCTGGCTTAGTTGTATGCACACTGCTGGTTTCTTACCAGTCAAGCAGATGCTCTCTGACTTGGAAGCAAACACCCCTAATCAGTCGCCTATTACGATATACGTGTTAGGTGTGGCAGTACGTCTAATTTAGCCCCCCCCCCCCCCCCCCCACCACCAAATGGGGCTCTGCAACTCACAGGAAAAGATAATCTTATCACAAACACACACCAGAAGAGAACAGAGAGCAAAAACACACACGTTAAGACCACAAACAATAAACAAATTCTGAGTGTACAGTTTGCGACGACTTATAAAGGATATGCATCTAACTAGCTCTCCATCTGTCGACTTGATTTATCCAAAATCTCCACAGACATTGTAGGAAAGAATAGCAACATGAATAACAAAGGACAGATAATACGTTTTCATACATTCTTTTCCCAGCCACGGAGCCTAGGAATCCCGTACCATAATAAATACCACAAATTACTGCCCTAACGACTCCCTCCCTGTTCAATAACTCCCTTGAAACAATCAAATAAATTATAATGTCCTATGTATATCCGCTGTTTGAATTAGCCGCATAACTATAATACGGTCAGTAAACGTATTAAACATTTGCGGTCCTGCCTTCCACGGCTGAGAATTATTCATCAGGTATTATCACCAGCCTCACGTGAAATGGAGAAGTGGCGACAGATTGCCTCTCATACCATCATTGTCATGCTAGATAGATAGGGACGGTTACGTTTCATGCTAATGTTAATGTGAGACTGTGTATTTAATTTTCGACAAAATCCTGCAACTTCGTGATCGCCAACACCAGCAGCAGCAGCATAAAAAGAATAGTAGTAGTAGGAGCAGCAGCAGCAGCTGCGTTGGTTGTTGTGGTGACACTAGTTATAATAACAGTGGCAGTACAAGCAGTAGGGAGTCACCGTGGCGGAGCGGCTAGAACTCGCCGCGGATCGGAAGGTCGCTGGTTGGCTCCCTGGCGGAGCCATACTTTTGTCAAAAATTGCCTTAGCTCCCCCAGGTCAACCCAGCCTTAAGTGGGTACCGGATGCAGTCCCGGGAAGTAAAGGCGGCCGGCATGATGCCGACCACACCACCCAAAATATGCTGACGTCTAAAAAAAATTATATGGTTCTAGCCCTACACGCCTAAACGCGCGGAAAAGGGTCCTTTAGGGCAATCAGTAGTAACAGTAGCACTAGAGACTGCAATGATCCCTTTGTGGAGGGAAACATGGCAGGAGTCCTGAATAGTTTACGCTCTCGCATGCATTGGTGTAATGGAGTGTGTGGCCAATTATCATTCCCGCCATCTGTGCCAACCTGACAGTTTCCGGAGTGGACAACAAATTCAGTGACCGGTTTTATAAGGCCACATTTTGCAGTCTTATTTTTTTTTTTTTTTTTTTTACGTATCCAGAAACCATGAGTTGTAAACCCTTTGGCTCGGTACTATGGATATCGCAACCCTGCGGCCTTGATTCCATTATAGGTACCGTTAATCTGGGAGAAATGTGGCTTTTCTGCCTACCCCCGGGAGTGAACCCGGACCACAAGGAGTTCGTCACCGGGCTGCCGCGAAAGTCAGGTTTAATCAACTTCGCTAGCGAGGCAGTCTTAAAGAGATAATGGTTAAAATACTATAATAACGTTGCCAATGCAAGGGGTTGATCTCGGACCAAAGTTTATAGACTAGTAAGGTGGTTAGCCGACCGGCTGGTAAGTTCGACTTCTTCTTCTTTGTTCGTCTTTAAAGGAACAGTTTAAATCTTATCCTATAGATATTACCTAGCTATTGTTTTATTGTCTTTCTGCTGTCATTGTTACTTTCACGTTCAATATTACACCGTGTTTTAAAGAGAGAGCTGCAACATCTGCGACTTTCGAAAGGACGATCCAACTACCATAAGCTTTTATAAGTTTTTTTTTAAAACGTATACTTGTGAGGGGGGAGTGGGTCTATTCTCTGCGCATGTACCCAGGGCTGGAACACGGCTTTCTCTACTCAGACCTTTTTCCAAGTTTCCTTCCGATCGTTACCCCTGCCACAAATAAAATGTTTATGCAGAACTAGGCCAGCCTCATGTAAACAAAATACTCCAGAGCGGAACTGAAATATAAAACAGGGAAAACGTGGGTGGGGGGGGGGGGGGGAGCAAACGCTGTTTTTCCCCTTGCAACATCTTCAGCAGAATGGAACACTGTTCCACTGAAGCTGCAAGGCCAATAAACAGGTAACACACAATTGGCAATGACCAGCTCTCTGTGTACTCAATGAAAACGTTTACAAAGCAATCGGTCAACAAGAGAATCTGCGGCAAAGTCTGATGCACAAAGTTCAAACTGCACGACGCCGAATTTTAGGATGCTGCATTTCTCTACGCAGCAAAATGCAGTTGTAAACTCTAAGGTCATTGTCAATAAAGAAAGGGACGGGGAGAAGGAGGAAGGAAAAAAGAAAAAAAAAAGAAGAAGAAGAAAAAGAAATTTATTTTCTACAAGTACATGTAGCACTAATTCAGATCTAAAAGGTAAAAAAAAAAAATAATAATTTACTTCTACTAGCACGGGAAAAGTTAATAAAACTCGTAGATAAAACAAACAGACAATGGAACGTAAAAGTAACATTGGCAGCAACAAGACAATTAAAAAAAAAAAAAAAATAGCTAGTTTATATCTATAGGATAAGATTTAAAAATTTCATACATGATACACAATGAGAGCAAATTGAATTGTGTTCATGTAAACTTCGCGTTACATTGTTCATTGCATATTTATTCATAAGAATTTTCCATTGAGCTGGAATAAAGACTGACAACAAAATGTCGATTAAGCACAATTCTGAGGATACTAACAAGAGACACAGAGACTACATCACACACTCAGCGGACAATATGTTCATCTGTACTGATTAAATTATGAATGCGTCTCTCTCTCTCTCTCTCTCTCTCTCTCTCTCTCTCTCTCTCTCTCTCTCTCTCTCTCTCTCTCTCTCTCTCTCTCCCTCCCTCTCTCTCTGTGTGAGTGTACCCCCATCTTATTCGTTTCTTTTCATGTTGGCACATTTTCGTCTTTCCAGGCGACATTATTATACTGTGCTATGGTGAGGCATGTCGGCGTCGCGAACGCGCTTCGTAATGCCGGTGTGCCGGGTTCGATCCAAGCTGCTGGCCTAGCGCCTTGAGTTGGTTTCGACGGTGGTATTGAAAAGCTGACCGTTCAAAAAGCAATGGCAAACTACTGGACGTAAACTTGCCTAGAAAAAGCATAACAGCATCAACAACAACAACAAAATTGCTGGGGTTGGTTCTGCAACGCTCTGTAAAAGAAACGCAACTAACTGGTGAGGCATGAGTATCAGTCCATGAGTATCCGTCCATGAGTATCAGTCCATGAGTATCAGTCCATGAGTATCAGTCCAAGAGGATGGCGAGTGTCACCAGCAAGACCCGCTCGCATTAATAAAAGTCTTCCACAATTGTAGTACCAGATTTCAGTACCGTTTTGCCGTCCCATGTATTTAGTATGCTCCTTCCCAGACACCCAACTCTGAACTTTTTTTGCAGTCATTCCCCCCCCCCCCCTTTTCATTCCCATTCCCTTCCTATTCTCCCCCCCCCCCCACCTCCACCCCCTCCAACAGTGTCTATAGCATTTTGTTCCTATGAATCTAGTGTATTAACGGTATCATTCATGTCCCGCTTGCACACATGTTTAAACAGTGGTAGAGGTCAGCTCCGACGTCTTCTACCCATCTGTAATTCATTATAGAGGCGTACAGGTTGCCCGGACTATTGTCCTCTATTCCCCAGGTTTCTGTCCATTTAACCCGATTACATCCACTTATCCATTATGAGAAGCCTCGGTAGAAAACTGTTTAAAGCCTCTCTCCACAAAGACAAGGAACAGATCGCAAACTGTTTCTCCCCACGGCGCTTAATGGCAGAAATAGACATGATGGGTCATACAACAGATCAGCATCATAGCCCAAGCGTAGAAACCGGACCCATAACTGATCGGTTCTAATTCTAACTCAAGCCTGGATCAGAAGAATCGCAGCACAGTGCACGAACTCCGTAGCACCGGCGAGGGTCTTAAAAGACTTTGAGTAGATTTTTAACTCCAAATTTTGTTCGGACAGCGCCGTTAAACAACTATTTTCGATTTCCAACTGTCAAGGGATTTTGCAAACGCGCAACAATACACACGGGCGTAAGATGTTACTACCCAGAGACCAGAGTAAATTAATAGAAGTAGAGTTTAATTATGGTGAATAGTGAACTATGATCGCCTCTGTTTATCGGCAGTACAAGCAATGATGACGAATATTATTGCACGTGCTACACAGAGAGCAACAAAAGAAACACGTGATTGTACTTACATGAATGGAGACATTCAATTATAGTTGTGGCGTCAATGAGGTAACCTCCGCATAGTGCGCACAGAAGATGAGGGTTCAGTTCTGATATACGTAGTCGTTTGGAGGGAGGCGGGCATGCAATGCGATCTGTAAAGAAATAGAGCAGTTTATTAATAAATGTTACAAACAAACGAACAACACTTACTGGCGTCTCGATTAACAATGAAAAAAAAACTACTACGACAATATATATATATATATAAATATATATATTATATATATATATATATATATATATATATATATATATATATATATATATATATATATATATATACTAGCTGTACCCGGCCACGCGTTGCTGTGGCGTAATTTGAGATAGTCTTTGATCCCCCCCTCAGGCCCCCCCCCCCCTACAACTAAATCCACCTAGTACCCTCTCCCTCATCAAAGGTTTTTAGAAAAGAAAGACAATGGAAATTGCACCTGACTAATGAAGTTAATGACGCAGTCAATGTCTGCGCCGACGTCGAGATAGTCCTCGATTCCCCCCCCCCCCCCCCCCCATCGAAGGTTGTTTGAAAAAAAAAACCAGAAAATAGAAATCGTGTTTAATATGGTTATTGTGGCAAATATAGAGATAACTCAGATAGTCTTGTTTGCTGTACCACGACCTACTCTATGTATTAGTATTAGGCGTTGGCTGCACGTAACTCGCCGGCGAATGGTAAATACGGCGCATGCGCAATTACTAACGTGGCTATAATTAGAAATCACTAAAGTTATAAATATTAGTTGCGTATATTTTGGCATAAATTGTGGTCACCTATCTCTAACAGTGACAGGTTGAATTTCAAACCACGACGGTTCAAAATCCGGTATGACAACAAACATATCCTGAAAATTTCAGCTAAATCGGTTCAGTAGTTTCCGAGTCTATAGAGACCAAACAAACACACAAACATTGATTTATATATATATATATATATATATATATATATATATATATATATATATATATATATATATATTTGTTTCGTGATCTTGTGGTTGGTTCCATGGGGTGGGTAGGGTAATTTGGCGGCCAACAAATCAACCGCACGCTATTCTAGAGCTGAAAATATAGCCTATTGGTGTGAGATTACACCATGACAGGAGGTGTGCGCGTATGTATGCGTGTGAGTGTGTGTGTGTGAGAGAGAGAGAGAGAGAGAGAGAGAGAGAGAGAGAGAGAGAGAGAGAGAGAGAGAGAGAGAAAAAAAAGAGAGGGACAGAGACAGACAGATAGATAAGAGAGGGAGAGAAAGAAAAAACGATGAGAACGCAATCAGTGAAAAGACAGGCAGCTGCTGCGAGTATATAAATGCTGCATAAAGTTTTACTCTACACAAAATTTGTATGTCTCTCTCTTTCGCTCTGTGTGTCTCTTTCTCTCTGTGTGTGTGTGTGTGTTTGCGTGTGTCATCAGTCTATAGTGATTGATAAAACAACGAAGCTTGGAAAAAATGGTAACAGAATACAAGCAAGAAGACCGCTTTTCATCAGTCTATAGTGATTGATAAAACAATGAAGCTTGGAAAAAATGTGGGGGGGGGGGGAGGAGGGGTTGGGGGTAAAAGACACACAGAACGCACTGAAGGGGTGGGGCACGCTAAGACCCCGTACACATTTTCAAGGTCTCTTAACTGGTGGTTTTAAGTGCTTAATAATAATAATGTACTGAATTGTATCAAAAAAAAAAAATAAATAATCTACCATAAATAATCTGGCAAGTACAAACAAAAACTAAGCAAGAGGACTTCTATACATGGAGATCCGGCAGTTTAGTGTACTTAGATATTCTTGCTACGTCCTTCCCCATCAAAATACTGGAGGGGGGGGGGCAGCCTAACATGCCTCCCCCCCCCCCTTCTTCCCTCCCCAACCAGGTACCAGAACCTCTGCAGTGACGGTTACAAAGACACTCATCTTTTGTTTCTCTTCTTCTTCGCGTTCACCGGCAGTAAACTCCGGCGGAAACTTTTGGTTGTTAGTTTACTTCCGGACTCTAGCCCTGTTCCAGAAACTGAGTGGTGTGTGCGCATCTACTCATCTGCATGCAGACTGTTGGTTCCTTGCCTCTCAGGCAGATTAACTCCAACTCCGACTTCGAAGGAATCTCCCAATTAGTCGACTCTTACGATATGCTTTTGGGCAGGCAGTGGGTCTATCCTTGTTTTCACCACGCTGGGGCTCCGGATCCCACAAGGGGGGGGGGGGGGGGGGGGGGACTCGTCTTTATTTTTTGACGCCTTCACGAAAGCCAATTGTCTGCATTGATATTTACATCCTTATATGTCCCATCTGAATCAACACTGGGATAGGTAAGGCAGTAACAACAGTGAGCAAGCAGATTAATCAAAAGCGTTTGGGAGAACAGAAAGCTCATGATTAAAACAAAAACTCTTGTCTATCAGGCTGGCGTTCTCAGCACTCTGCTTTATAGCAGTGAAACTTGGCCAACTTATTCGCACCAGGAGAGACGGTTAAAAAGCTTTCACATGGGATGCCTAAGAAGAATACTTGGCACTGCGTGGCAGGACAAGATCATAAACACTGAAGTACTGGAAAGAGCAGGCAATTCAACAGTCTTCTCAATACTCAGGATACGAAGGTTCAGGTGGCTTGGTCACACCTGGAGAATAGGGGGATGGTAGAGTCCTAAAAGACAATCTTTATGGGCAACTAAAGATGGGTTGAAGATGTCTTGGCCGACCTCTACTACGATATAAATATGTGTGCAAGCGGGACATGAATGATAGAGGCATTGAGGTGGACTCGTGGGAATAAAATGCCATGGACCGTGTGGTGTGGAGAGGGCACATCAGGAAAGGAATGAGAATGTAGGAAAAAATGATTGCAGAAAGGATGAGAGCTGAGCGGCTGAAAAGAAACAGACTAAAACAATGGTCATTAATTCCAATGCTATAATTTTAAATAAACCTAGCTTCTTTCTTGAGAGAAAATAATTCACACAATTAATCTACTTAACTAAGAGTAAATCATTCTCGAATTATCAAAAGTATACGCCATTATGTGGGAGCTGCCGTGGAGTAGTGGCTAGACGCTCGCTTGTAGATTCAGGTCCTAGCGGAGCCGCCTGACCTTGGCTTCCAGGTCGACCCAGCGTTAAATGGGTTGCAGAAAAAATCCTTGGAATCAAAGGCGACCGGCGGGATGTTCGTCACATCACCCACCGACCACATCACTTTTAGTGCCGACTGGTCTATCTATAAAATATAGATCTTGCCCTATACGCCCAATAAACCTCAAGACGTGAAAAGGGGTTCTTTACTCGGGAGCCACTATGTGTATACATTTTCACTAGTATGTGATACCTACTTATAATATGTGAGTATCTTATGAACCTTAAATTGTTCAAACATACACCATAGGATAAACATATACCAGAGGATGTCAAACATATACCAGAGGACGTTAAACATATACTAGAGGATGTTAAACATATACCAGAGGATATCAAACATATACCAGAAGACGTCAAACCTATACCAGAGGATGTCAAACATATACCAGAGGATGTCAAACATATACCAGAGGATGTCAAACATATACCAGAGGATGTCAAACATATACCAGAGGATGTCAAACATTTACCAGAGGATGTCAAACATATACTAGAGGATGTCAAACATACACCAGGGGATGTCAAACATATACTTGAGGATGTTAAACATATACTAGAGGATGTTAAACATATACTAGAGGATGTTAAACATATACTAGAAGATGTCAAACATATACCAGAGGATGTCAAACATATACTAGAGGATATCAAACATATACCAGAGGATGTTAAACATATACCAGAGGGTGTTAAACATATACCAGAGGATGTTAAACATATACTAAACTGTACTTTTCTCCATCTTTATCTTGGGATGTCCCCGTGTGGGTCCCAGCACCCTATTGTTGGGGGGGGGGTCGGGGGGAGGGGGGGGACAGACTCACTGCCTCCCTTACATGCATGTCGTAAGAATCAACCAGTTAGGGGTTTCCTTCAAAGTCGGAGTACAAATGCGTGAGAAGAAAGGATTCATCAGTCATAAGCCAAATCCGTAAAACTGATATGCACGCATAACTCACCATCTGCAATAAGATTAAAGTCCAGAAGTGGACAAACGATCAGAATTTTTATCCGGAGTTTACATTCGGTACACACACGAAGAAGAAGAAGAAGAAGAAGAAGAAGAAGAAGAAGAAGAAGAAGAAGAGAAGAAGAAGAAGAAGAAGAAAAGAAGAAGAAGATAGACAGAAGAAGAAAGAAAAGAAGAAGAAAGAGAAGAAGAAAGAATGAAGAAGAAGAAGAAGAAGAAGAAAGAAGAAGAAGAAGAAGAAGAAGAAGAAGAAGAAGAAGAAGAAGAAGAAGAAGAAGAAGAAGAAGAAGAAGAAGAAGAAGAAGAAGAAGAAGAAGAAGAAGAAGAAGAGAAGAAGAAGAAAGAAAAGAAGAAGAAGAAGAAGAAGAAGAAGAAGAAGAAGAAGAAGAAGAAGAAGAAGAAGAAGAAGAAGAAGAAGAAGAAGAAGAAGAAGAAGAAGAAGAAGAAGAAGAAGAAGAAGAAGAAGAAGAAGAAGAAGAAGAAGAAGAAGGAAGAAAAGAAAAAGAAGAAGAAGAAGAAAAGAAGAAGAAGTAGAAGGAAGAAAAGAAGAAGAAGAAGAAGAAGAAGAAGAAGAAGAAGAAGAAGAAGAAGAAGAAGAAGAAGAAGAAGAAGAAGAAGAAGAAGAAGAAGAAGAAGAAGAAGAAGAAGAAGAAGAAGAAGAGAAGAAGAAGAAAGAAGAAGAAGAAGAGAAGAAGAAGAAGAAGAAGAAAGAAGAAAAGAAGAAGAAGAAGAAGAAGAAGAAGAAGAAGAAGAAGAAGAAAGAAGAAGAAGAAGAATAGAAGAAGAAGAAGAAGAAGAAGAAGAAGAAGAAGAAGAAGAAGAAGAAGAAGAAGAAGAAAGAAGAAGAAGAAGAAGAAGAAGAAGAAGAAGAAGAAGAAACAGAAGAAGAAGAAGAAGAAGAAGAAGAAGAAGAAGAAGAAGAAAAAGAAGAAGAAGAAGAGAAGAAGAAGAAGAAGAAAGAAGAAGAAGAAGAAGAAGAAGAAGAAAGAA